CTCATACGCTCATTTAATATTTCTTGAACAGTGGGGGGGATAAGGTCTAATGTGGTCCCTCAATGCCCAATATGCCCTCATTAATTGTTTCTTGAACACTAGGGGGAGACATAAGGTGGGGGGTATTCTGGTCATTGAGGAATGAAATCATAAGATTCTTTAGGATTTGAGGGACTTGTGTGCAATTTCAAGATTTGAAGGACTAAAACAGAATTGTTGAAGATATAAGGGACTAATATCAAAGTAACTGAAATAATAATCTAATAATTTGGATCTTCTCCGATTAGGTGGTAATTTGAGAGAGTCAAATTTTCTCAATCATTACCGATTTACCGTCTATGTCGCTTCCAATGGGTGAGAACATTTTTCTTGTAATCTTGAAAACCACTATTAAACATGAAACCTATTATAGTGACAACCACTATTTGTGATAGTGAAAAAATTTACGTGGTGTGATCTCATCCGTTGAAATTGAGATGAGCGATAATGACGGAGAAAATTGGACCCTCTCTAATTACCGTCTAATAGGAGAGGATCTCAATCCGAACAATAACGGGTGAAATTCTGTTTAAACTAGACGGATTAGGTTTTCGGTCTGTACGAAGTTCAACCCGAGTCCAGCCCGCTGAAATTCTGTTTAAACTAGACGGATTAGGTTTTCGGTCTGTACGAAGTTCAACCCGAGTCCAGCCCGCTGATAACTACTCTATTTGATAGTTTCCTTTTTCTACTGGGACTACTAGACCGCTCCTTTTTTTTTTTTTTTAAAGTTCAAATCTTTCAATTAGGAAGCATTATCTTTTAATTTCCTACTCGGAGGAGGACTACTAAGTTTATATAATAGGCTGTGATTGTTTCTTTTCGCAGGTGAAAGAATTCTCTCTTAATTTCTCAATCGCGCGTTTTCTCTTGGTAGCTGAATCCATGGCGATTTACTACAGATTCAAGAGTGCTAAGCAGTTTGATTCGATTCCAGTCGAAGGGCCGTTCATCACCGTCTCCAATCTCAAACGAAAGGTTTTCGAACGCAAACGCTTGGAGAGGGGGACTGATTTCGACCTGTTAATTACCAATGCACAAACCAACGAAGGTAATTAAGCTGCATAATTTCTCCCTGATTAAGAAACACAAATTAATAGTTCTATTCCCACCTTTATTTATTTTGTTCTAATCATGACATCATTTGCGCGTTTTTCTTTCAATTTCAGAGTACCTTGACGAAGGTTCGGCGATATTCAGGAATACTGCGGTCCTAATTCGGCGAGTCCCAGGCCTGCCTCGAAAGCCTATTATTGTTGAGCGTGCCGAGAAGCCAGCAGCATCAGGGGGCTGTATTCAGCACTCTCCTCCGTCGTGTTCGGATTCAAGAGGTGATGCTAAAAGGGCACAAGCCGAGGTTTCGAAGCCGGCCTTAACCGTGGGAGATCTGCCAGAATTATGCTGCCCGCTGTGCAAACAAGTTATGGAAAACGCCGTCTTCGCCAGAAAATGCTGTTTCAGAAGTTTCTGCGATAAATGTACGTGTACTGCAGGATGACCCTTAGCTGGCCTAGTTTAATTGTGACTTCGCGTCATGCTTTCTGTTAAGGGCACATATTGCACTCGTGCGTTCACCTATTTGTCGATCCTGTTCTATCTAGCTAGCTATAATGTTGTTCATCTGCAAAATTTTCAGGCATCCGCGAGCATGTAAGTGTCGATTCTACGTGCGAGTGTGGAGCGCCTAGAGTTTTAGCCGAGGACTTCATTCCAAATAAGACTTTACGGGACATTGTAACGTCCATGCTGGAGTCTGCAAAAAACATTAAGAGGCAGCATGACCTGAAGACGGGGGAAGAAGAAGGAGAAGATTTTGCTTTTAAGCGAAGGCGTTTGTGCTCCTCAACGAGGATGATTAGCTGCACCTAGAAGAAGGAGAAGATTTTGCTTTATTCAAATACATTGGGAAATGTTGTAGTGAATCTAACTCAGAATCAACTATTTCAGATGTTACTTGATAATTCTATTGATTATATTTCAGATATTACTTGATATATGCATGCATATTTCCTATTAAATGATATTTCAAATGTTACTTAATAATTCTCTCTTTTGCGATCAATACGCTTGAGTCGCTTGAATAACGCTGCAATTGTTCTTTCTACAGCTCTACTCATTGATCATTTTACACATGGACTTAAAATCATATAAAAAAAGTAATATGAAAAAGTTTTACAAGAGAATTGGCTAGATATACTGAGACTCCATAAAATATTTCATGCATTTCTGATAACAAACCATTTATAACAATCTAACACAGAATTGCAATAGCTCTATAAAAAGATTTTGAAGCAAAGATTTGTGTTGGGCATAACATATTTCCGCTCAAAGAATAAAACATGTCCTTGGCTTTCTTCTTCTTTTCTTTTGCTTCGGAGGACGCAAAACTACCTTAATTGCACAATCAAACACAGTCTTCACATTCTGCAAATTAAAAGTAGCAAAAATTCCAATTTCAGACATCTCAAAAAAGGTTTCAATAAGAACTTATCTGCGCTTGTCATGTACCTGCTGAGTTTTGGAACTGCATTCTATATAAACAACTGCACCAATCATTTTCTTCAATTCTTCTCCCTGTTCAGATCAGAGAAATGTAAAAGTTCTATAGCAATTTTAAGTAACTAGCTGGATTTTTTTGTCCAGGAAATAACTTGCCTGTGATGTTGTTATTGGTGCAGCACCAGGATGGTCAATGAAGAACTGCTTATCATCGCGTAAATCTGCACCAACATTTTAACCAGTTTGGTAAATGCTAAAATATAAAATCAAAATCTACAACATACCGAGCAAATTAAATGTGTACTAGCAGAGGTTAAATGTAACGTTGTTTTGTTTCATTTGTAATGTACTTACCGAGCTTAGTTCCTACGAGCACGATAGGTACATTTGGTGCATAATGCCTCAATTCAGGAACCCACTGAAATTTGAAGCAAGCAAGAGATAGGTACATTTGGTGCATAATGCCTCAATTCAGGAACCCACTGAAATTTGAAGCAAGCAAGAAAAGAGAAAATATTCAGAAGGTGCATAATGCCTCAATTCAGGAACCCACTGAAATTTGAAGCAAGCAAGAAAAGAGAAAATATTCAGAATATGTTAGTGTATAGTCTGTAGAGTATCAAAATGCAATGCTAAATAGAAAAGGAAACTTGGATAAGAGCAAAACCTTCTTGGAGATATTCTCATAGCTAGCCTTACTAATGAGAGAAAAGGCTAACAAGAACACATCAGCACCTCTGTAACTAAGAGGTCTTAGCCTGTTGTAATCTTCTTGGCCTGCATATATGAAAATATATGTAAGAAATTACAAGATGAAGTTTATCATAGTCTAATTTGTGTCAGTTATGTTTTTGAAAATTACTGCTGGTAATTATAGGAATGTCAGAGGAGATTCAAATATGCTTACATGCCCCCAGAAAGTTTAGTTTAGCTAAAGTTGTCTTTATGCTTAGATTTCTAACTTATCAAGTTGTTATTTGAAAAATCTCATTATTTTGAACCATATAACTGTATCAACATTGTAGAAGTTAGCAGTGAACCTCAAATTAAGATATGTCCCCTGATTGGAAATGCTATTTGGTTGCATTGGGATTTTTATTTCTATTGAACACTGGTAAAATTTTCTGTTATATGAAAGCGAAATAATCGTGGTTCGTGAATATATTACTATTTATGAACAGAAATTTTGAAGCACGAATCTAATATTGCAAAATTTAACTCTTAATTAAAGTTAAGAACAAGCACTTAAATCTCCTAAACCTGTGGGTGTAAATAATGTACAATCTGATTATCCTCTAGTTAATTACAAGCTCGAGTATTATGAAAAAACGAACAATGATGAATTTGTACGAGAGATATCTTCTAATTTTTTTACTAAAACCTGTTTATCTATGATTCTTGATGTTGAACAGGGTTACATATTTAAAGATCTCTTCTCTTAGCAACATAATTCATTCTAAGTAAATAATGGAGAAGTCTCGCCTGCAGTATCCCAAAGCCCGAGGTTCACCGTGCTCCCATCAACCACAACATTCGCGCTGAAATTATCAAACACCGTTGGCACATAATCCTACCATCAAAAACCAACCATTAAACACACACACACACACACAAAATTTCATTTATCCCTTCAAAATTTTCGACTGTTATAAAATTTCCGTCACATACCGTTGGAAAAGTGTTACTGGTGTAAGAAATGAGCATACAAGTCTTTCCAACTGCTCCGTCGCCAACGGTCACACATTTGATGAATCTTGCAGTGCTCATCTCTTCACCAAAATCTCTCTCTCTCTCTCTCTCTCTCTCTCTCTCTCTCTCTCTCTCTCTCTCTCTCTCTCTCCTCTTTATAACTTGGTGTTATCAGGATTATGTCCCCTTGGAGTCTTTATATAATCAGTAATGCTTATATGGTTACTACCAAAGACATGAGGCAGAGATTAAGATGGAGGGAGCAAAAGTTAATAGTACTGTAGAAAGATGAGACCTATGTTTGAATTTTGAATAGAGATGGGGGGTATAGTAGGATAAATGGGGTTCAAAAGGCCTCTTGGTGAGGTGCGCGCTGTCCCCTCACTATTTTGGATATACATGTTAGTTGGGTTTTAATGTAGATAACCGAACCCGATAAACAATCGGGTTTCGGGTTGTAGTTATGAACTGAAAACCTGTCAATTATTTCGTATTTGTGTATTCATATTGAAAAGGTAGTATCAGGAGTTTTTGTTTGCTTGAAAATAAAGTGGTTTATTTAATTTATTATAACATTAAATTTTCATTTACACTTTTTAGCAAAGAGGAAGAGCTGAAGTCTTAAAATCTTTACTGCCTAAAAACGAAAAACAAAGAAAATTAGTCAAATATTTTCAGTACAACTTAGCAATAAAATTAAGAATAAGTCTACGAAAGTGCCCCTTTTCATATTGTCAACTCCATCTTTTTTTCCTCCAAGGAAAACCCTATCTAAGAGAAACTAAAATTGTAAGTTGGCAAAATAAATCTTTTAACAAAAACTACTTGAGCGTGACTTGAATTTCTATTATTAACAATCAAACAAAAAAAAACTTTCACTTTTTGGTATGTTAGAATATAAAATTATAACATTCGGATCATCATCATAACTTTATGGTTTTGGTGTAGTGACAAAGATTTTTGTATGGTATCGAATCTTACTTGTCACAAATTCAAAGCAAATTTTAGAGAAAAAAATTGTTACCACATCAAATCCGGGTTTTAGC